CTCGAATTGTTTGATTTCCTTGTTAAGATGGAGAATGTGGTGGTAAAAGAGGCAGTATTTTAAGCTGAGATTCTCTGAGAGTGTTTTTTAAAATATTTCTGTTTGATCTTTTGTCTCAGTGATCAGAGAAAAGATGGACAGTAACAACAGTTCACCTTGAGCTGTTAGAATACCAGCATTTAGCATAACTGATATTTGTGACAATTAAGCCATGCTACGTTGAGTGTAAATGGGCAACTACAATGGGGACCATTGGACTTCTGAAGTTCAAGTTCTATTCTGTCTGAAGACAATTTCCCTACCAGAGGTCAAACTTTAGCACACACATGCAGACACAGAAGTCATAGTCCTGCATTGTAAGTGAAACAGAATTGGACAATTATCGGGTCAGTTTTGGTTTTGAAATGGTTCAGATTCTAACCTTCCCACCACTTCCTTAATTATCTCAACAATTCTGGCAAGAGGAGGTTTGGGGGTGGAAAAAGATAATTCTAAAAGAATTAAATAATTATAGCTGTCAGGAAATCTGTGCTGGATTTTATATATTCCTGCATAATAATTCAAAATCTCTGGATCTTTACTGTATCTCGGATAAGTTATTTTAATGCATACCTCACAGCATCCTTTATACACCCTTGCAATGTAAACATGTAGAAACCATGGAATGTTTTTCTTTAATCTTGACATTTGGGAGAGCAAAGGAAACAACAAAAAGGAGAAAAGACGTGTTGAGTTTAGAATTGTGGCTATTTCTTATTGGTTCTAAACTTTTACTTTAATATCGCAGCAACACCGCTGTTCATTTCCTGTTAAACTTCAAGCCTACCTTTTGATTTTCAAATGTCCCTTAGGCTAATGTTTTCACTGAAGAATGAAATGAACAGGCAGAAACAATTAAGCGAGCAGATACAGTGAAAACGAGCACCACACCGCACTTTCACAGAAATGGAAGTGTATGAAGGAATTCTGCTTGGAATTTGATCCCACAGCAGCAAAGATTTGCTCCTTGTCATTTTTCTTCTGCCTACCCCCAGTGCACACCACTTCCCCTGTATGAGGGAAAAAGATCTAGGCACACAAAGGAACTCCTAAATACTCACAGGCGTGGGAAATATTTTCTCTGCTTGTTACTAGTACAGGATAATCTCCAAGGAAGAAAATCCAGCTAGATAGTCTACACGGCAAATGTCTCCCAAAGCCTGTTAAATGTTCACATATGTCTTTATGAAATTTGTAATATGGATTGTTTATATAGTCCTGATTAAGAGCATGAACATCATTAAAAAGGATAAAGTCAGTTTGAGGACGGAAAATTATAAAGTCAGCTAAAACTGTTACCTACAAAAAAAGTATGGATTTTTTTTTTTTAACTTAATAATCTGTGGCTCTTTAAAGAAAAAGATACATAAACAGTCAAAAGTGGGTTGTTAAAGAGCCTTCTAAAGTGTATCAGGAATTAACAAAGAAGTAATTAACTCTACCCCAAACACATCAGCCATCACCTGTTTATAGCATTTTTGTCCCTCTATGAAAGCTGTATCTTCTTTTTTAGTCCCACACTAAGAGATTTTACGTTGCAAGAGCTTGGCATTCCTATTTTTGGGTTGACTGTGTTAAAACAGGGTGCTCTAATACACAAAGGAGACCTGTTACAATATAGCAAGGTAAAGGGGCTGAAGGAAGAGGTATCATAGGATCCATTCTGGGAGAATCTATATTATTATCAGATACAATGCTCGCATGATTGATTCAAGATGAGCTCTGTCTGAATTCAAACTTGATTTCTAAAGACAGTATGCATTTGGAAATTGCCTTGTGAAACCGTCAGAATACAGAAAACACAAAGTTTAAACTTTTTGGATGCCTTCTAGTACCTCAGCAATGAATCAGGAAGATGGACGGCATCCGCAAGATTATACTGAGCGGAAGGCATGGTTTTTGTTTTTTATTGAATCCATCCTGTAGTATTTTCCCAATAAAACACCTCTTGTAAACCGGGGTCTTTGTATTTTTGTTGTTGTTGTTATGGGATTTTTTTAAATACCAGTATAATAGTTTTACTCTACAATAGTGAAGATGGGAAGACAGCTGCTAGTAAACATAAAACCAGTCATATAATGGCATCACAATGGATTTTTTATTTGAGATTCCAGGATGGGGTAAATTTGTTACCCCAGCAAATAGCTGGTTACATGGAAATTGACTTTAGGGAACATTTCCCTGAAAAAGAAGGCAATTTATATTGGTTAAAACACTAAACACCAACACACTTCCTCTTTTTTGTTATTTATTCAAAAACAAAACAAATAACAACATACCTATGTGGTGTCTAGACATCAGAACTCTCTAGTAAACCATTCTTGAAGGTGTTATAATACCAGCCCTGAAGCAATAAAAAGGCACAAATGAATTTTCAGCAGTGCATGGAAGATGTAAGTGGAATAGGGTAGTTTGTCTTATCTGCAGTTATCTACCACTGGCATCACTGAATTAAGAAAATTGAGATCATTTGGTCATCTTGCTTGCCTTTGTAACACAAAAAGATAAATCTAAAATATTCATGGATGTATTTACATATTTGCCAACACAGTTCATTCTTCAGATTATAGTTTTTTTTCCCCTTACAGGGAAAAAAAAAAAAAAAAAAAAGGTAGCAGTAGCAGCAGGGAAAATGTAATTAAACACATGAAAAACTTCACTAGGATGGATAGCACTAAACTTTCAAACTAGTCACCACTACAATTAGCAATTCTCTTTTGCTAGAGGTCCATTGTGGCCCCCCCAGAAGAGGCTCCCAGAACCTGTGAATGTGACCTTGTTTGGAAAAAGGTCTTTGCAGATACAGTTAAGCTAATGATCTCAAGAGGACATCGTCCTGGATAAGGGTGGAGCCTAAGCCCCAAAACAAGATTACCTGAAAGAGAAAAGAAAGGGGGAAACACACAGAGACACAGTCGGGGAGGCCACATGAAGATGGAGGCAGAGACAGGAGTGATGAGCCTTCAAGCCAAGGAATGCCAAAGGCTGCCAGCAGCCACGAGAAGCTGAGAGACACAGAGAACGAATCCTCTGCCAGAGCCTCCAGAAGGAACTAACCCTCTAAATACCTCGATTTTGGACTTCTGGACTCCAGAACTGTGAGAGAATATATTTCTGTTGTTTTAAGCCATTCAGTTTGTAGTAATTGGTTACAATAGCCCTGTGAAGCTAATGTACGGTCCTTCAACAATCAAAGCAAAAAAGGGGACCTATTAGCACTTTGAGTGCAAGGGAGGAAGGAATAACTGAGCTGTTGGAAGGTCAGTGTGCAGCGGGATGTCATAAGCAACCAGAACTCAGGTCCAAATTCTGCCAGAAGTCTCCCTCTGTGTTAGTCTGTTCTCACACTGCTAATAAAGACATACCTGAGACTGGCTAATTTATAAAGGAAAGTGGTTTAATTGACTCACAGCTCTGCAGGGCTGCAGGGGGCCTTAGGAAACTTACAATCATGACGAAAGTGGAAGTAAACACATCCTTCTTCACATGGCAGCAAGGAGAAGTGCCGAGTCAAAGGAGGAAAAGCCCCTTATAAAACCACCAGATCTCATGAGAACTCACTCACTATCACGAGCACAGCAGCACAGGGGTAACTGCCCCCATGATTCAATTACCTCCCACCAGGTCCCTACCAAGACACGTGGAGATTATGGGAATTACAATTCAAAATGAGATTTGGGTGGGGACACAGCCAAACCATATCAGTCTTTTTCCTCTGTGCTTCACTGTCTGTCATTGAAAACTGGCATTCTTCACTTGGCAGGAAACACTGCTGCTAACATCTTTTGAGTTTTTTATTGTATGGCTTCAATCATCTCAGACATACTAACTTCCTTTCATATTTCCAAATTATTTGAAAGAATCTTACTTTCCTAATTTGAGTCATGTCTCACCCTGAACTAACAAACAGAGGCTAAGCTGCCAGGATCTTATAAAATATGACAGCTCCTAAGGAAACCACTTGAATGGGTGGAGGTGCTGGGCACCCAGGTGTCCATCCCATGGGATCTTTTCTGTCTGTTTTATGATAGCCATTTTTTTAAGGACAACAGTGTGGCATTTGCAAAGACATTTGTTTTGTGGACAAGATGTGCAAGTGAATCTGAGCTCTGCCATTTACTGGAAGTGTGACATTAGCAAGTCACTTGGCCTTTCTGAGCTTTCTTATCTTGTTAAAAATGAGGATAGATTGTTTGATAAACACTCTAAACCTAGAAGGATCTCAATAATGTTTGTTAATAATGGTCATAGAAGTATTGAACTTAAATGGACCTTAAAGACAGACAAGGTTAATCACCTTATTTTCACAGATGAGATTTTAGAATTTAAGTTGGTGAGAAAACCAGGGCAAGAATTTAGTTTACTTAACTACCAGATTAGTGTTCCTTTGTTGTTTTATATGATCTGTTCCCATCCCTGTGGATATAAAATAAGGTCTCATCTGAAAGGTGTTATTCAACTAAAGAAAAAGCAGCTTTCTTAGAACAGACACTGATATTAGGCTTTAGATGAGATATTAACACAGGGATAAAGGTGTCAAAAAAGAAAGACCAAAGAGTTGTGTTGGGAGTTAAAATGTGAATGACCCAGTCAAGTGCCTTGCCATTTTTGAGCCTATAAAAAGTAATTGTTTTGAGACAGCATTCACACAAATAAATCATGATGGGTTCAGACCCCTCTAATTATTAAGCCATCTTGTTTACATCCCTCTATCCTGTGTTTATTTTCCTTTGGCTACCCTTATTATACAATAAAAACAGTTTGAAAGAACCTGTTTGCCTCAGTTTGACAATAAGAAAATCAAGAGAAAGATTTTTCCTTCTTTGGGCCAAGCTTTGGTCCAAGTAAGAACAATTGCTAATATGTCTAGTGACTATAGTTCTGCTCATTTTTATGCTTATAAAAGCCTGATGCTGAATGCCTGTGTTTTAAAGTTTTTATAAGATCAACTTTGCTTTCAGATAACCCTCCTTCCTCCACCTCACAAAAGCTCACAAGCTGCAACCCTTCTGATGTCCGCTCCCACACGAGCCAGCTTCAGGCCTTTTTCAAGGTAAAGTGCCATATTTACTGTAGCATTTATGAACTTCCTAATCGCGTAACATGTGTAAAACTGCACTAGTGTTTTTATTAGGCTCCTACCTATTTTTATGTGTCACTGATGAAGTGTTTGAATGTTTTGCCCAGTCTCATTTTTGTGCTAAACCTTATGATGTGACTTTTATTGCATGATTTTATGTGGCAATGGTGAGTTTTAGGAATGCATATTTCATATTATGGTAGAATTGACTGTATCTTGTTGGGATATGGGTTACATAAACAAATTCAATAGCCAAATATAACCCCTAAAATCTGCATTTTGCCACAGGTAAATGATAACTCAATGATCATTAGATCAATATCAATAATTTCTTTCCGCTTAAGGTTTACATCTTATCTGTATATTGACCCATGATTGCTTATGCATTTCATTTTACTTCTCGGTGAGTAGCAAACTATTCACAGTTCCCCGGATGCACCAAGATCTCTTATGGCTCTTAGAACTCAACATTATTTTTGTTTGCTAAATTCCCACTTCCCATCTTTGCCAGATTAATTTCTACTAATCACTTAGACTTTGGTTAAAATATCACTTCTTTCAGGAAGCCTTCCTGGCTATTATTTCCTCCTCAGTTTGGTTAAATGCCTCTTATACGTGCTCTCACAGCATTTTGTGCTTAGTCTTATCATAGTTTTTGCTACATTTATTTCTTATTGCTTTCAGATCCCAACTTTCAAGTTAAGAGCTGTGCATTTTAATCCCAAATCTCCATGCGTAGGTCAATGCCTGGCATGAAACAGATGCACAGCTTAATATTATCTGAAAATTATCTAAATAAATTAATGAATATACTATTTTTTGAACTAGTTTATTAGTTTTCTATTTCTAATTAACAAATGAACACAAGTTTAGTGGATCAAAACAATAAAAACTTACTATCTTACAGTTCTGTAGGTCAGAATTCTGACATGGATCTCACTGGGCTAAAACCAAGCTGTTGGCATGGCTGAATTCCTTCTGGAAACTCTAGTAAGAAATTTATTTTCTTGCCTTTTTCAGCTTCTAGAGGCCACACCTTGTTCAGAATTAATAGATCATATAAGTGTAGATTTATTTTCTACTCTCAGTTCTTGTGTGGTAGAAGAAGGTGGGTTATCTGAAATGAGACAGAAAGAGTAACGCCAGATGAGGTTGGGTTTGACTCATAATATACAGGTGGATATGGGTGAACTGAGCAGCTGGTAGATGTTTGAGGTGTGTTTGTGTGGTTCATTAATCTATTTGTTCATCTTTACACCAATACCACACTTTTCCTATTTCTATACTTTCTTTTTTTTATGATATTGTAAATGGTATGTTTATAGGTTAATTTTTCAAGTTTTGATTGCTAGTATGTAGTAAAGCAATTGACTTTTGTCAATAGTTTTCTGTGATAATATTAAATCAGCTTGTTAGGATTCTTTAAAAGACTTCTTAGAATTTTCTATATATTATGTCACCAGTAATTCAAAAGAGTTTTTCTCTTTCCTTTTTGGTCCTTATGCATTTCATTTATTTATATTGTTTTATTATACTAGTTGGGGACCTCTAGTACAAGGATGAATATGAGTGCTAAGAAAAGACATCCTTACTTTGTTTCCTAAGGGAAAAGCATTCAGTATTTTATAATTAAATATAATATTATTTCTGTTTGTAAAAAGTAAGTGGCCTTTATCAGATTGAGAAAATTTTCTTTTATATCTAATTTTCTGGTAGATACTATTATTATTACTGCTATTATTATAGTTGGGTGTTGAAGTTCATCAAATGCTTTTTCTTCAACTAATGAGATAATCAAGTGATTTTTCATTATTTTTATCTTGCCAATATGTTTAATAACATTCATTTTATTTTGAGTGTTAAAACAGCTTTGGATTTCCGGTATAATCCCACTAGGTCATGATGAATTAGCCTTTTTATGTATTGCTGGATTTGGGCTGATCATATTTTCTTGAGGACTTCTGTATCTGTGTTATTGAAATGTATTAATCTGTAATTTTCTTTTTTTGTAATGTATGTGAATGACTCGGTATCAAGTTAACACCAGCCTCATAAAATGAATTGGGAAGTGTTCCCTTCTTTTATATTTTTGAAAAAGTTTAAATACAATTTGTATTATTTCTTTCTTAATTGTTTGATAGGCTTTACCAGTGAAGTCATCTATGGTTTTTTTTGTGGAAAGGTTTTAAAATTATGAATAAATTTGTTAATAGATATAGGGTTATTCTGATTTTTTATTTCTTCTTGTGTTAAGTTTAATAATTTATATTCTTCAAGAGACTTGTTCTTTTAATGTAAATTGCCAAATTTTTACTCACAAAGTTGTTAACAGTATTCAGTTATTGTGTTTCTGGTTTGAATAATCTATAGTAATATTTCCTTTTTCATTTGTAATATTGATAATTTACATTTTCTCTTTTTTCTTAATGAGTATAGCTACGAGGTATCAATTTTATTAATCTTTTTAAAGAATTTTTTTTTTTTTAGTTTTTCTATTATTTGTCACTTTTCTATTTAATAAATATCTGCTCTTATCCTTATTATTTCCTTCTTCATTCTTACTTTGGGTTGATTTATCCTGATTTTTCTAGTTCCTTATCACAGACTCTTAGATCACTGTTTTTAAATCATTCTTATTTTCTAATGTAAATATTTAAAACCTTGTTTCTTTCTGCTTTACCTTCATCTTACAAATTTTGATATGTCATATTTTTATTTCATTTAGTTCAAACTATTTTCTAATTTCCTTTTAATTTTGTATCTGACCTATGTCTTAGTAAGCATTTTAATTAATTTCCAGATATTGAAAGATTTTTCAAATGTATTTTGCAATTGATTCTTAATTTAATCCTGCTGTGGTCAGAGAACTTTCTCTAAATGATTTAAATTATTTTAAACATATTGAGATTTGTCTTATGGCCTAGCACAAGATTTATCTTGGTGAATGTTTTATGAACACTTGAAAAGAACATGGATTTTCTGATTGTTGGGAAGAGTGTTTTATAAATATACTTAGAATTGTGTTTGTTGATAGGATGATTCAAATGTTCTATATGATTATTGATTTTATGTCTAGTTATTCTGTCAACTGAGATAAGAGTGTTAAAATCTACAACTGTAATTTTGAATTTGTCTATTTCTCTTTTTTGTTCTATTTATTTATGCTTCATGAATTTTGATGCTCTGTTATTAGTGATGCATGCCCTGTTATGATTACTGTGGCTTCTTTATGACTTGATGCTTTTATCATTATGAAATATCCTTCTTTATCTCTGGTAAAACTAATTTTCCTGAAGTCTGCTTTTCTAATATAATTATAACCACTCCATCACTCTTAGAATTAGTGTTTTCATAGCATACCTTTCTCCAATCATTTTCATTTCTAAGCTCAATGTGTCTTTACATTATATGTGAGTCTCTTGTAAACAGCACATATTAGGTGATGCTTTTTAATAAGGTCTCACAGTTTCACCTTTTAGTAAAGTATTTGGTTCATTTACATTTAATATATTTATTAAAATAGTTGGACTTAAGACTTCCATATTGCTCTTTGTTTTATATTTTCCCATATATATTTTATTCTTTTTTCCCTCTTTTCTGACTAATTTTAGATTAGTTTTTACTGTTCCATTTTACATCTCCTATTGGTTTAATATATATATCACTGTATTTATTTTTTCATATTATTCTTAATGGTTGTTATAGGACTTATTATATGGACCTTTTACTTATCACAGTCTGCCTTGCATTAATACTAGCCCACTGTTTGTAAAACACAAGGAAATTAAAAGTTTCCCCTCCTCTATTTTTTTTCTGTTTTTGTCACACATTTAACTTTTACACGTTTACAGAAACCTCACAATTCATTGATATTATTTTTTCTTTAAACAATGAATTATCTTTAAAAAATCAAAAAACAAAAACATATTAAAACATATTATATATTTACCTATATAGTGGCTATTCCAAGTGCTTTTTATTCCTGTATGAACTGAGTTTCCATCTGAAATTATTTTCCTTCAAACTTAAAACCTCCCTTTGACATTTCTTGTAATGCAGGCCAGTGGGTGACAAATTTTTTCTTTTTTATTAATTGCTTTGGTCAAAAAAATAATGTATCATGAGACTCAGGCACTAAAATATGTCAAAATTTTCTAGCTAATATTCAAAGAAAGCTGTCTAACCTCTAATCATATGTAATTTTACTGAGAAAAATAAATGAAGACAGCAGAAAAAAGTAGTTTTATTTTCTCTTCATTTTGGAGGAGTAGTTTTCACTGGATATTGATTGTTGACAGTTTCCTTCTAGCACTTAAAAATTGTCCTTCTATTGTCTTTTCACCTACATTGTTTTTAATGAGAAGTCAGTAGTTTTTCTTATGATTGTTTTTGCTGTGTATAATGTGTCTATTTTCTCTGTCTTCTTTTAATATTTTTCTTACTATTACTGACTTTCAGCTAATGAGTGATGATATGCTTTGGAGATATTTTCTATAGATTTATCCTTCTTGGAATTTATTAAGCTTTTTTAGGTCTCTGAGTATATAGTTTTTAATCAAATTTAGAAAATCTTCAACCACCATTGTTTCAAACATTTTTCTGCTCTCCTTCTCTTGTCTCTCCCTATAGTATGCCAATTCCATGCGTGTAATTAGATATTGTCACATGTCACTGAGGCTCAGTTAATTTTTTCAGTCCACTTCACTCTCTGCTTCAGTTTGACTCATTTCTATTTTTCTGTTCGCATTCACTGATCTTTTCTTTTGCTGTTAAACTCATCCAGGGAAATTTTCATTTCATGTATTTTTTAGAGGGGGGAACAAAGTTCTAAGATTTATTTTTTATTATTCTATTTTATTGTAATATTTTATTTTATTTTTTAAAGATGACATCTTGCTATGTTGACCAGGTTGAGGCCTCAAGTGATCCTCCCAGCTTGGCTCCCAAAGTGCTAGGATTATAGATGTGAGCCACGACACCCAGCAGGGGATATCTTTTTTCTTTTATGTTCTTTTGTAAAATTTCCATTCTCTATTGTATTTCTCTACTTGTTTCCTCACTTTATTCGCATTTCCCTTTAAATCTTCAGCATAGTAATAATAGTTGTTTTAAAGTTATTTTCTGTTAATTCCATTATCTCTCTCTTTTCTGAGTTTGTTTCTTTTGACTGATTTTCTTCTGCTGTGGTCTTTATACATCAAGTAATTCTTGATTTTATGCTGAACGTTATCGTTCCTATGGTGTGTGATTTTAGTTTCCTTCTTAATAGAGTGTTAAGTTTTGTTCTAGAAAGCAGTTAAATTAAGCCATCTTGATTCCTTTGAGTCTTAGTAAAATTTTGTTAGAGCAGGCCTAGAGTAGCCTTTACTCTAGAGATAAATATGTCTTCTAAGGCATGGCCTTTCTGGACTCTCTACTAAGCACTGTGGGTGTTTAAAGAGGTCTCTGCTCTCTAATTGGTCGGAATTTAAATGTCTCTCGGCCTGTGCAGGCTATAGTACTTGTTCTATTCACAGCTCCTCAGTAGTTTTTCTTCCTCTAGTAGCTGTCTTTGCTCAGTAGTTGTTCTATGCTGGACCTCATGTTTTCTTGGCCTGCCCATGTGAAGCTTGTTTCCAGGTCCTCAATGTAGATTTCCAAATCTCCTGTTCTGTACAGCTCCCTTTTATGTGGACCCTGACTCATACATTCTAGCAAATACTGGAGCTCCAAATTCTGTTCTCTTTCCCCTCAGCCCCCCAAAATGACCACTGTGCTCTGGGTTTCCTCTCCCTCCACTACAGTTCAGAAAATGCCTCCAAACATAAAGCCAGGGAGATTGTTGAGCTAACGTTTTTTAGTTTCCTTCACACAGTAATCACTATTTCGCATTGCCTGTTGTACAACATCTTAAAGTGGTTATTTCATATGCTTTGTCCAATGTTATAGTTATTTATGACAGGAAAATTAGTTGTGTATCAGTTACTCTGTCATCATTGGTAAGCAGGTAT